AAAAAAAAAAAAAAAAAAAAAAAAAAATAGGAAAATTAGTAAAAGAGGGGAAGTGAAGAAAGGGTCAACTAAGAAAGGGAAAGTGGAAATCAAGAATTTTGATTTCAACAACATTTCAGTTGCATTTCATGTTCATTTACATGAGAAGCGGATCACCATGTGTTATCCCCCTATATATACCATGCTCCCTCTTCCCACTCTTCTTGCCATTTTTCCATCATTCCTTCCTTACTGTTTACAGGTCAAAGCTTCCAGACATTAACAACTCCTTTGTCTTATTGCTTTTTGCTTGGTGAGTTCTCATCTCTTTGATTCACTCATTCTTGCATCTTCACATTAGACTTCAATTTCTATGATTGGTTGTGGTAATTTCTTCAAATTAGCCTCTAGTTGTTGGGTAATTATGAATTTTGTAGGTCCCATTTTTTCTAGGTCTACCGGTTTCGCCTATTAATTTCTCACGCTTTCAGATCATCAATTCTACCTGTATCTATCTTTGATTTTTAGGGATTTTATCGTTTTTCTTAATGTTTATAGATTTATTTGATTATCTGGGAGCCTTTATTAATCATGTTTGCTTGTTTGGATTCTAGGGTTTTTTTTGTCTTCTTTCTACGTTAAATAGACAATGATCGTGTTTGTCTTGCGAGTAGGATGTAAGAATATATAGTTATTATAAAGCTATGATTTATGGTATAATTAGATAAACTCATTTGTTGGTATATAATTCTACCCAATTTGTAGTATGTACATCTCTATCCTTAAATTTCATATATATATGTGTATATATTGTTTGTATAGTTGAGGTATGTTTTGGGAATTATACAAATTCTATATCCATTGATGATACAATATTATATATCTCAATTTGATTCAACATGTTTGGATCTGTATCCAAATCTGCTTGTGGATGTAGATAGGATCATATCAGATCATAAGAGATTCATGTCGAAACCTAGACTTAGATAAAGAGTAGGCACCTCTAACATAATCAGGGCAAATACTCTCTGATTTAGCATCCATGATGTTGTTGGGTGTTGACCAACAACTTATTATTCTTGAAGCTAAAACCCCATCCACCAAGTTGACAGTTTTCGTGTTGTATTGGGCTCTGCAGAAACCAAGGGAGCAAAGCAATAGAAATTAGGAGTGTGGAGAGGAGCATAACTAAACACTTTTGCAATTCTGCAATGGAGGTATTTGGAAAATCCGTGGTAGCTGTGCCTACAAATGTTATTTATCTGTCAAGTATACTAGGTCAAGATGGGCCAAACCCCTCTGTTCACAAGTGCGATTGGAAATGTGAAAATGAGCATGTGTGTGGGAACATGTTTCGCTGCAAACTAACAGGGCTCACACACATCTGTGACAAAAATTGTAACCAGAGAATTCTGTATGATAACAATAGCTCCCTTTGCAGAGTTAGCCGACAAGTTTTTCCTCTAACAGCAGCTGAAGTACAGGCTGTGAAAGGTGTTCGAAGGAAGCTCGATGAGGAGGCTTCTTCCCCTCCGGAGACCTGTGCTTTTAAGCGCAGAAGGAATGGACAATTCCATCCCTCTCCTTTCGAGAGATCCTTCTCTGCCATTTGCAGTCAAGTTGGAGATGTCATGGATATGAGCTAGAAGTCTTTGTTGTTCTCTTTCTATATTTCCCTTTTAAGCAGACAACTCTCGAACTTTATGCAAGTACCTAAATGGCAGGAGGCTTAATGTCATGCCTATTTGTAGTTGTAGGAACAACAACTTATATATTCGGATCTCATGTATTTAGTGCTTCTTTATAACTCAGCTTTAAGCAAGGGCTTGACATTATTATGCTTCTGTGATGACTGACTACACATTAGTCTTAAGTGAGCATTACATACTCTTCTGTGTCTTTCTTATTTACCTGGTTCTGTTTCTTCTATTCATCATGAATACCTTGCTTTCTATCTTTTATATCTAGTTCCCCTTCTTGTGTTTACTTGGGAACACTTGCTAACATTTGATAACCCGTTACAAGTCTGGTCTAATTGTTGTAAGCTAATACTCTGATTTCATCTTTCACACCGATTTTGTAGCTTCATTTGTTGATATCATGCTAACTACAATCTCTGTCTACCCTTTTTGGGAGTTTTAATTCACAGGAATAGATCAGTTCAAAGAGGAGAAATCCGTTCGTCACTTGAGTTTCATCGTTCTTGTCTAACTTTCTTTCCTTTTTTGCAGGTTCATGAAGTGAATCATTTTTTTAATATACACTTGAAGTACTAGTATTAATTTTGTTATGTGTTTTCATTTTCTAATATTTGGGTGTCTTAAGATGTTATTTTGCAGGATCTGAAGGTTGTCATTCAGGAGAGTTGTAAATAGTTGATGACAATAATATTTTTGTGATATTTATGAGATGAATACTTGATCAGTTATTGATAAACTTTAATCTATTGCAGAAGCTTTATTCTTTGGTGCTGTGTGGAATGGAGTGGAACTCTTGTGAACTAAATGATGCTACTACAGGATCTATCATCTGGTCAGAAGATTATGAAACACCTGTGTTTTGGATTGGGAGTAACAAAGAAGCCAAATTGACCAGAAACATCTTTTAAGCGCTGGGTCTTGCTTCAATTGCTTACTCAATATAACAAGGACCGGGGGTGTGCTCATATGTCGAAACTGGCTCAAGCAGAAGGCATTATTATACATACACCTTAGAGATGCTGGAAGGTATTCTTCTACTGGTCCAAAAAACAAGCTGTTCCCAAGAAGTCTTTGCAAAGTATGCATTTTGTCGAGGTGCGGTTGACTCAACTGCCAGTAATGTTCTGGACCTCTGGGGATTCTCCTCAGAGGTCACCAGTTCGAGTCGTGCAATGCCACTGAGGATTTTCCTAGTTGTTCTCTTGGTGTCGCAAACTAGCGCGGACGCCCATGATAACAAAAAACGTATGCATTTTGTCATTTCTCCAAATTTGTTGGAACATTAGAGATCCTATTTGTGTTGGCATTTCCCATGAGAAATGAAGACATGATTATAAGTTTCATTTTCTGAAAAGTGATCATTGAAAGGTTTTGGTTTCAATCCAATGTATCCATTTTCTTAATTTTTGTTGTTATTGAAGCAATCATTAATAAGAGTTGTGTGTTTGAAAACAATCTCTTTTTGCACAAGTGTTGATTTCTGTTGTTGTTGATGGTCGTATTTCTAAAGCCATAAATAAGAGTACTATAGATTTCTATCTAATTATATCTAGAACTAGATTTAGGCCGTAGGTTACAACAATCACCAAAGTCTGTTATCTTCAAAAGAATGGTGACACCTCCAAAATGCTAGTTTCGACCACACTGCTAGGCGATGCCAAGTTAGATCCATGTCCTCTAGACTTGCCACTACAAGGACCTGCTATACATGTCAATAAGGAATGTTAGACTTAAACCTAGTGAGTTCAAACAATTTGAATTTAATAATTTCAAAAAAGATACAATATTTGAAAAAATGAGGATGCTATGACAAGATTCTAATTATAGGAAGGGGCATCACCCGTGTCCGCTTCATTTTCATTCTATGCATTATCAACAATATTTTTTAGTAACGAGGAAGACCCGTTTCAGTTATCCATGACAGAACACAAAGTAGGCCATATCAACAATGTTATCGAGTTAAAAGAATTAGTGGCCATCGTATTCCACCCCAACAAGCAGTAACACAAGGCTCCCAATAATCCCTAGTGCAACTCGTATCTAAAGGTAGCGAGCCATATAAGTCGTGTCCCTCATGTACCTTTTTACCGGGTTACCAAGCAAGACTCTCATACCTGGCAAAGTACAGGGCAGTCGGCTAAGCAAATGTTCGTCCTTCAATATCTCGGTTGCTCAACCTCCCGCTTTGTCAGGTATACTACAAAGAATGGCATGGAACTCTAAGACGCAAAGGCATCAAACCTCTCACTTGAACCAGACGGCAATGCCCGTCTTCCAAATTAAAAGAAAAAAGGGGGAATAAAGATTGACTACACAAATGAACTCTGTCATCCCTACTGAAAGCTCACCATACATAAATATAGACCATCTGAACTTCCAAAAACAAAGTTATGTAGTTCAATCCTTACCTTGTTCACTTAAACACTCCAAGTTGGGTAAATCCCCATATCATTTGGCCTTCGGCCATTCGCTAAACGTATGGCCATTTTGACCCGAACCTTTCTTTGGTCATTAATAGACAAGTCTAATATGTCGTTATAATTAATAAGTAGAAGTCGAATATAACCCAAAGTAAGTAAACGACCTCGTTTATCAAATTTTAAGCTGAGTGAGTTACCAAGAAACCCGATGAAAGCAAGGTAAGTGTAGGGTTCTAGAAAAAATTGTAACCTCGAAAACGCAGCGAAAAAAATTATTTTTGGTTACAAATTAATAGAAAACTTTTTTAATAGAAAACTTTTTTAACATTAAAACCCAAGCCGAATCCAATGACAATTAAAACAAATATTCATACACCATAGGGTGTTTAGAGTTGTATATTTAAAGATCTGGTGTAAATTTGATGTAATACTTAGAAACCAAAATAGGTTTCCTCTATCTATGATCCACATACGAACACACTTAGATCTTCCACCGGGTGCTAGCCCAAGAACACTAGACTAAATGTATATTACAGAAAATAAAATGTTTCTTTTATGTATAATTTTTTTGAAGGCTAAATCTAATTGATTTGATTGGTTAGAATTGATTTAGGGGCTGTTTGTTTGCCTCTTAATGGTGACATTAAGAGGCAGCCTCTTAATCGTTAAGAGGCAGAGGCTGTTTGGCAAAAAAAATAGAACCTCTTAATGGTGACAATTGGCTCTTAACCATTTTGCATCCTATACCTCACTAAACCATTAAGAGGTTCATTTTTCCAACTATGCCCTCCTTTCCCAAATCATCACCGTCTTCTCGTCTTCTCCCCCCATCTCCTTCTTGAAACATCATGAACCGTCTTCTCCCCCCATCTCCTTCTTCCCCCCTCCATCACCGTCTTCTCGTCGCTCGCACATAACCACCAACAGCACACATCGCCGGTCTTCCCTCCCCCCTCGTCGCCTCGCCGCCTCGCCGCTCGYSSCTCGYCGCCTCGCCGCCTGGTCGCTCGTCGCTCGTCGTTAACATAATTATATGTGTACAAATAACACCCTGTAATTATTATAATTACATTTTAACACATATTTTCATAATTATCCTTCAAGAATAATTATTTTCATTATCAACTTGATTTAATCCGAAGCAAACTTTGTGTGCGACCTTATAGGTTTACATACTTTCCAACAGTATTCATGGGTGACACGTGTCGTGGGCATAAAAACACTTGCATTCTCTTATTTGCATACGACACACAGTAACACAGACGGCGGTAAGCGTCTAGCAACACGTCAACGCCCTCAAGGCTATGTAAATGTGCCTTTTTCTTGAGCAATTTGATTGATCCAGTCAATCCTATGGTAGAGTCATTCCTTATTTTTTGCTTCACAATATTTTTTTTGAACTTAAGACATAGATCTATCTTATCCTTTATGGTTTAAAGATTATGTTTCTCAATCCCAACATATTTGATTCAGATAAGTGCCACTAGTTCAACTAATGCATTTGCTTGTGGCAATGTAAATCAAACCATTAGGCCTTGGCCTAGTGGCCACCTCCTTCTGTAAATGCCTTGCCTTGGGCGTGCCCGGGTTCGATTCCAGGGGAGGACATGTTGTCTTTTCCGGTGTTTGCTTATGAGGTATGGCAAGTAGGGTTCACAAAATGTGGACCACGGGGCCATGAGGTCCCCGCCATTAAACCTTTTTTTTTGTAAATCAAACTATGTCCTCGAGGAGCTCAAAAATATCTCTCTCAACATGAGAGTAGAAAATCTCATAATGCATGTACACAACTTATACACAATTCATGTTATACTTAATATAGCCCTTATGAATACTGTTACGAGATTTATATAAAATAAATTTCTCGGATTGTTAGCAAATGGAGATTAGTGCAAGTATACACTTATCAATACACTATCGTTTTTTACAAGTAATAGAGTGGTAAAAATACCGAATATCGTCCACGGAAAAAATGAATAAAAGTTTATTTAAAAGTCTAAATAAAGATATGATTTCAGATAGTGAATTCGAAGAAATATTTGAGGTGAGTTGGTTTAATACTACTGTTGTGAACAAGTAATAAAAGAGAACTTAGGGTGTAGGGATTTGTTAAGATATTAAACCGATTTTTAAGTAGACAGCATACTACAACATGGTTCTATAGCATGCTTTATAAATGACTTGTCTTTACAACTAATAGCTTCTTTAAGATACTCTCTCGAGATGTAGAATGACACACATTCATAGATTAAGCCTTCATATCTCTATACAAGGCTGGAGTCTCGACATTGGCTCAAACTATTCCTTATATAAGCTAAATGGAATGAAAACGAGTCTACTCGATTCTAAGTAGCTCTCTCGAGCCTACTTCCATATCATTCAAGTGGACGTGTGCTTGTTGGTTTATCTCTAAATCCAACACACTTTAACACTTTTAAACAAGTGATCAACTTGTCCATGAATGATGTTTTTACAATATACACTTGAATGACGTAGTTGTAAAGATTTATTATTTATATTTTCACAAACGAAATCGGTATTTCTCTTAACATCACCTAACACCCAAGCTATATTTTTAGTCTACCATAATTGAAATAATAAAAATTAATTGTATAAATAATAAAGCATAATAAGCAAAGCACAAGAAAAGAAAAGGAAGTAGAAGAGATAAATGTTAAGATGAATTATAAAGGAGACTTAAATGTAAAGAGAATTTAAATTACTTCCAAACACTATTTTCATACCCAAGAAAATTTTCAACTTAC